CACTCCCCTAATCTATAGGCTGCTCCCCCCCAGCCTCACTCCCCTAATCTATAGGCTATCTCAAACCCTCCCCCCATCCCTCACTACCCTGATCTGTAGGCTGTCTCTGTTGCCTGAAAGTGCTGTTCCCCTGCGGATTCAATCAGCAGAGAGATGCAGGGATAAGATGTAGCTTCCTATCCCTGTCTCTCTCCATACACAGCGGTATTGCAGTTCATTTTCATACCGGCGCCGGTATTGCAGTTCATTTTCACGAAAAATAGCAGAACAGGCTGAAAAATCAGAAGGGGCAAGTTCCTCCCCTTGCCCCCCCTGCGGACGCCCATGTCTGTGAGGTAATGCAGGACAGTCTGGCCAGAGGAGCTGGAGCGCTGGGTGCTGTTTGTGCAGAGATGCTGAGGCCGGAGAGAGCACTAACAGGCTCCCTGGCACAGGCCCGTCCCAAAACCAAGCCTCACCTCCCGTACATAAGACCCGCCCCGACGTAAAGGTGCAGACCTTGCTGCTGCAGAAAATGGCTGTGTGTGTGTGTGTGTGTATGGACTCAGCAGTCTGTGTTTGTCTGTGTGTGTATGGACTCAGCAGTGTGTGTGTGTGGACTCAGCAGTCTTTGTCTGTCTGTGTGTGTATGGACTCAGCAGTGTGTGTGTGTGTATATGGACTCAGCAGTGTGTATGGACTCAGCAGTCTGTGTCTGTGTCTGTGTGTGTATGGACTCAGCAGTCTGTGTGTGTGTGTGTGTGTGTGTGTGTGTGTGGACTCAGCAGTCTGTGTCTATGTGTGTGGACCCAGCAGTCTGTGTGTGTGGACTCAGTAGTCTGTGTGTGTGTGTGTGTCTGTGTGTATGGACTCAGCAGTCTGTGTGTGTGTGCGTCTGTGTGTATGGACTCAGCAGTCTGTGTCTGTATGGACTCAGCAGTCTGTGTGTGTGTATGGACTCCGCAATCTGTGTGTGTATGGACTTAGCAGTCTGTGTTTGTGTGTCTGTGTGTATAGACTCAGCAGTCTGTGTGTGTGTGTGTGTGTATGGACTCAGCAGTCTGTGTGTGTGTGTATGGACTCAGCAGTCTGTGTGTGTGTGTGTATGGACTCAGTAGTCTGTGTGTCTGTATGGACTCAGCAGTCTGTGTGTGTGTCTATGTGTGTGAATGGACTCAGCAGTCTATCAATAATTAAAATTCCTGTGAGTTATTGTGGAGGAAGGGCCCCAGTGCATTGCTTCTCCCGGGGGCCCTTAACTCTGTTAAAATGGTACTGCTTGTGTCTGTCAGTGAACTTCTATTTAGTGAGCATGTGTGTGTCAGTGAGCTTGTCTTTAGTGAGCTTGTGTGTATCCCTGAACTTCTTTGTAGTGAGCCTTCTATTTATACAAGTGAGTTTGTCTGTAGTAAGCTTGTGTGTGAGTCAGAGAGTTTTGTCTGTCAGTAAGCCTATTTGCTCATGCCAGTGACCTTGTGTGCTTACTGTAATATATATATATTGACTTGTAGGGATGGCATAACATTTTTTTCTAGGGATGCTTTGGATTCCCAGGGATTCCCAGTTTGGCTCAGCCAGCGAGTGCACTTTACCGCTGAATCATCTGTGTGAGCTGCCGCACAGTTTAGCCCTGTTACACCCGTCTGGGAGCTGCTGTTGACAGGAACTAGTAGTTTAGAGATTGGGACATGGGGTATATGCTCAGCTATCTGTATAATACAGGCCTATGTCTGTATAATATCCCGGGACAGTCAGTGCTCCCTGTATAGTGCTGCCCTCTGTCTTGGGATATTATACACAAACAGGCCTGTATTATACAGAGAGCAGCACTATACAGGGAGCACTGACTGTCCCAATTTATTATACACACAACCCTGTATTATACAGAGAGCACTGACTGTCCAGGGATATTATACCCAGACAGTAATTGATAGCTGTGCTGCAAAATGTCCTTGGAATTGTTTTTCAAATGTTGGCAAATATGGCACTGTATCAAGGGTAATGTGTTTGTTTTTTAATAATCCCTGGTGGAAAATAATGAATCCTCCACCAGGGATTATTAAAAAAACAAAACACATTGTGTCGGGGCTTAACATGTGGAAGGGCGGGGTCAAACTACAGCGAGGGCGGGGTTAAATGTGCCCCCCTACTTTTGTCCCTGGCCCTCCATGTGCCCCCCCGAAAAATGAATCCTAGAGACGCCACTGCAGGTGGAGAGCACACAGCACAGTGCTTCCTCCTCAAGCCAGTCACTGAATGCAGCAGACTGCAGTAGAGGACTGGGTAGAGGATACAGAAGCTTCACTACCGTGATCCGTTCAAATAAGGAGGTAAGCTGGCACTGCAGAAGGAAAGAGGGGGAAGAGATGCACAAAGAGACTGGGGAAGGGGACAAAAGAACCACAAGGGAAGGGGGGGGAGGAGAAAGACACACAAAGGGGTTGGGGAAAGATCGATACACATAAGGACTGGGGAACTGGGAAAAAAAGAAACATGGGATGGGGAGAAAGACACAAAAGGAGCTGGGTAAGAGACACACAAAAGAGGCTAGGGAAGAGACACAGAAGGGGCTGGGGATAGGGATTAAGGGATACATAGGTAAAGATGCTTTTTTTGGGGGGGGGGGGCTGCATGGCAAAATGCATTTTCGCCTGTGTAGCCAAATATCCTTGCACCAGCTCTGGCCTTAAGTGATGTATAATGCTTAACGCTGATGGGCTGAAAGAAGAAACTCAAGTAACAGAGTTCTTCACTAAACACTAGATTATGTGAAAATTGATGATTCCTGACCAGAATTAATTGTTATATTTGCTGAAGCCAATCCATCGGCAGAATGCATTTGGCCTCTGGTTTAAAATCAAAATGTTTCACATCTAAACCCTACACAAAGTAAAGAATTCAGAATATGCACTAAGCACTACCTTTTACTGAAGGTACATAAGAAGTGCAGGGCTGTACTTGTTATGTTAATGGGACACTATAGTCACCAGAACAACTACAACTTATTGCATTTGTTCTGGTGAGTAGACTAATTCCCTTCAGGCTTTTTGCTGTAAACACTGTCTTTTCAGAGAAAATGCAGTGTTTACTTTACAGCATAGTAATAACTCCACTGGCCACTCCTCAGATAGCTGCTAGAGGTGCTTCCTCGGCCAGTGCTGCACAGTTAGCAGCACTGCCATTCAGTGTCTCCACTCTCTGCATGCAGACACTGAACTTTTCTCATAGAGATACATTGATGCAATTCATCTATATGAGGTGATGCTGATTGGCCAGAGCTGTGTTTGACTTGTGCTGGCTCTGCCCCTTATCTCCCTCATTGACAGACTCAGCCAATCCTATGGGGAAGCATTGTGATTGGCTCAGACCACCACTTCTGATGATGTCAGCAGACAGCAGGCAGGTCAGTGGCAGACAGGGGCAAAGCCAGCAGCTGTAGACTTGTATACAAGTAAGATTTTACTATAATTAGGGAGGCAATAGGGTGTCAGGGGGACAACATGGTGGGATTAACACTAAAGGGTCAGGAATACATTCACTCTTAGAAGTGCTCCTCTAAGTGCAGTTTGTATTTTTTGCCTATAGGTGGCACTGGTGGCCCAGGAGCCAGTGTTGTTTTCTGGATCAGTGAAAGATAATATTGGTTATGGACTAAAGGACATCCCTGAGCAGCAGCTGGAAGAAGCAGCAAGACAAGCGAATGCAGAAACCTTTATCCTGGGAATGGAGAAAGGCTACGATACAGGTGAGAGAAGGGAGAGGTCTGGGGTATACATTAAAAAAAAAAAAGTTTACCAGCCATAGATGAGAAATGCTGGAGGTGTGGAGAGGAAGTGGGCACCCTTCTTCATCTATGGTGGGATTGCTCAAAGACAAAGATCTACAATATAATCCGAAAATTCTCGGATTACCCGCCCCCATTTTGACCAGCACCAATCCTCCTACATCATACTAAAACTCGCACATCCACATACAAAAACTCACTGACAATACGAATTCTGAATGTCGCCAAAGGGCTGGTGCCCTTGTTTTGGAAGAAAGAGACAGCTCCACCAATGGAACTGTGGTTCCAACAAATGCAAGAGCTTCGCTCCATGGAAGATCTGATATTTCGTAGTGGCTTACCTGAACATTTGGACTCAGTGGCTTCTGTCAACAGACTCTGTTGCAATAAAAGTTTAGGACGCTGTTGCAATAAAACACGTACAACACCACCTGTAGGAACGAGATGTGCTAGACTGGACACTACAGAACTGAGAGAAGGAACTTGACGGGATGAGCGACTCACGGGGGGAGGGGAAGAGGGATGCAGAGAATTGACTGATAGGGTACCCAGAGACACACTAATATGAAGTAGACTAATTTACAAAACTGGAAAAACTGGGCTCCTTCAAACCCATCTGTCCATTAATTAATTTATTTACTTGTTTTTTCCTCCCGCCCTTTCACTTCTTTAATTTACTCGTCACTTCCTCGGACCATGCAGAGATGCCTTTTTTCTTTTAGTTAGATAGGTATTGGTAGCAGCCATTAGTGACTGAAACAGTGCCCCTTTATCAGGCTGACACCATATGGACAATTGTCCGATAGACCACCTGTGCAGAAACCCGACACAAGCTCTGTTACTAAGGCACTGTACTTTGGAAACCATACAGTAATTATCGTATTCCTCTGCCAAGTACATGACATGTCTGTAACCAATTTCATAAATATTGTGACCTGCATGTCCCCCATGTTGTTAAAACGATGTAGATACAAAATACCAGTGAGTATTATAAATAGTATCTGATACTCTAACACTTATGTGGGTCACCTTAGCCCACCCCAACAAATACAAAATCAAAATATACACAAGGTGGAGTATCTTACATGCAGTATGAGAAAACTTCTTCATACTGCATGTAAGATACTCCACCTTGTGTATATTTGGATTTTGTGTCCAACATGTTGCCTAGATGTTTATGGAACCTGCAAGTTCCAGTTTCACATTCAACTGATACAGATACAGACCTGCATGGCAAGAGGTTTACGTAGAAAGATGTTAGATAAAGTGGATAGTGTTCTTGTAAAGAAGAATGTCTCGAATGACACCGCAGGGACAGTAACAGGGACATGGTCTCTTGTGATTTCATTAAAGATTAATGGGACACTGAATCCAAACTGTCCACATCAGTGAAACAAAAGAGAAAATGCAAGATAGGGAATCAAACTTAAAATGCAGAAAAAGAGCAAACTATATGAGGAATACACACTGTATTCTTTTCAAGACATATGTCATCTAAAAACTTATTGAAATACATGTGTTAAACTCTAATGCTTCCAAAGAGTACGTTCCTAACAAACTATTGCGAAAATTAACAAAAAAATATTTAATAAACCTTAAACTCATACTAAACATGTAGTGCCTCATTAATACATTAATCTTTTCAGTGCTGCATCACAGAGAGTGACAGAAACTGAGGTTATTGCATGACAATGGTCATTAGAATGCAAAATGTAGTGAGTGGCTGGCAGACTTACATATGAGCTCAAAATGCAGAACTTACCCATCTATGGGTTAAGAAAATGCAAGATAAAAGCATATTACTAGACCTTAGAGTGGGTGTGCTTAATGTGGCACCTATAGTGATGAGAGACATACCTGGTATCAGGTAAAGATTAGGCAGGAAAGAGCGGAGGTCTAGCTATATGAAAGATCAACATAGCAAAGGCCAAGTGTACCAGGAAATGGAATAATCATAATACAAACCCAAGCAAATTCCAAAATACACTCCAAAACACAAATCACACTCTTGGGTAACTGAAGTCATGATAGGGCACAGGAGAGCCTGACTATCTGGTGTATATAGTCATGGTAATAATATAATTGGTTGGCACAAAGCCTGACAAAGACCCTCCTGGGTCAAAACATTGCTATTGTTTTGCTCTAAATAAAACTGCTATTTTGGCTTTTATCCTTGAGTGCCTGGATCAATATTTATTTTCTATATCTAAATATAAGCAGTATTTGTATCACACTTTGCTAATGTAGCATGTTGTATTTTCAGATGTGGGTGAGAATGGATCACAGTTAGGAGCAGGGCAGAAGCAACGCTTGGCAATCGCTCGGGCCCTTGCAAGGAGACCGCAACTATTGATACTTGATGAAGCATCAAGTAGTCTGGATCCAGAGACGGAACATGAGGTACCTGACTCTTCTGTCTATCTGATTGCTTTGACAATGTGCCCAGAACTTGGACAGTGTATCACAACACGGACTGAAGACCAAAAACATGGACAGTGTAGCCATAACTAAAACAGTACACCTGTAAGGATGACATTGTATATAAGTGGGATTATAACTTTTTCTTGCCTCATAAAATTCTACTTTGACATTTTACCAATATGTACATGCCCATCTTACAACCCATACACAAAAACATCAGCTCAAGCTTATTTATCAGAACGTTATATAAATGAAGGAATGTGAATATTTTACTTTAGTGCAGAATGAATCAGTACTAAAAACAAAAGGGGTGGTCTAGAAATCACCCACCTACTAGACCTTAAACCTAGAGCTTCTACGGGTGATCATCTTTTATGCTCATTCTGACCCTATATTCCCTCATATAGCACTATGAATAATAATTAAGTTATTCTGAGAAGGTGAAGGTTTGTTTATGATTTCCCAAATCCTGACGTGGCTTATTTAATGTTGTCATTGTCTTACAGATTCAGAAGTCTCTGCAAGAGATTGAGGGTCTCTCCCTGCTGATAATTGCTCACCGGCTGCGTACTGTAGAGAAGGCTGATCAGATACTGGTTCTAGATGGAGGGCGTCTAGTAGAGTGTGGAACCCACAAAGACCTTGTAGAGAGGAAGGGTGTATATCACAGTCTCCTGAATGGACATGTTCTGCAGAATGGGGAATGAGTGGATGTGAAATGTCAGGGTGAAGGTGCAGGGATAAATAGTATAAAGGGACAAAGGTGTATAAGAAAAAAAGGCTAGGAATAACAAAAAAAAAATAGAAAAATGGAGAGTGATGCAGAAAACTCCATAATGTAAAATTTTTTATTTGTCCATTAAACCATTGCTACTGCGTTCCATTGTACAAAATTAAACCAGCCAACACTGAAATTATTTCCAAACCATTTGTTAGAAATTAGATGTAAGCTAATCACTTCTGTGCAGCTTTAGTTCCTACATTACTGTGGCAATAACTTGAAAATAAAAAAGAGAAATTAGAAGCAGTTGAAGAATGATGGTGCACCACAATGTTTTCTGAATTTTAATTAAAGGGACACTATAGTCACCTGAACAACTTTAGCTTAATGAAGCAGTTTTGGTGTATAGAACATGCCCCTGCAGCCTAACTGCTCAATCCTCTGCCATTTAGGAGTTAAATCCCTTTGTTTATGAACCCTAGTCACACCTCTCTACATGTGACTTGCACAGCCTTCCATAAACACTTCCTGTAAAGAGAGCCCTATTTAGGCTTTCTTTATTGCAAGTTCTGTTTAATTAAGATTTTCTTATCCCCTGCAATGTTAATAGCTTGCTAGACCCTGCAAGAGCCTCCTGTATGTGATTAAAGTTCAATTTAGAGATTGAGATACAATTATTTAAGGTAAATTACATCTGTTTGAAAGTGAAACCAGTTTGTTTTTTCATGCAGGCTCTGTCAATCATAGCCAGGGGAGGTGTGGCTAGGGCTGCATAAACAGAAACAAAGTGATTTAACTCCTAAATGACAGTGAATTGAGCAGTGAAATTGCAGGGGAATGATCTATACACTAAAACTGCTTTATTTAGCTAAAGTAATTTAGGTGACTCTAGTGTTCCTTTAAGTACATGCAGAGGTAGTAATTTTTGGGGTGATAATTTCTCTATATTAGTTTGTAATTCTCCACTGTTTCAGGCAGATCACTGTTTTCTCGTGTGTCTGGCTTCTCACACTGTTTACATGCACTGTTTCCTGGCAACCAATACCTAGAAGAAACGTACTGGTTGTCGTTGTGATGACGACACACACTGATCGGTATGATCTGAGTACAGGAAGAGATGTACTGGAGATCTTTCTACAATTCCAAGTTTCTCTGCATTCTTTAAATACATTCATACATATATACATACACACACATACACACACACCGCTCAAAAAAATAAAGGAAACATTAAAATAACACATCCTCCCCCTTGTTTTTTCTACCCCCACCCCCCTCCCCCCACCAAGTTGGATTTCGATCAACTACAACACTGTGTTCCTCACCACAACTCTTATTGATATGTACTGTGATAATATGTACTGCATGCTGTCCATCACACGTCTACATAGGTGCTCTCACTATGGGAGCCAGGAGTCACCACACGCTCAAAATCTAACACTCTATTATGAAAATAGTCTCCTATAACGTGAAGGGGCTTAACTCCCCGACTAAAAGAAACCTACTATTTCAGACGCTCAGACAACAACATATAGATATAGCGTGCATCCAGGAAACTCACTTTAAGTCCTCCACGGAACCAAAGTTATACGCTAAACACTATCCTACTCAATTCCACGCCCGGTCGGCCAACAAAACAAAAGGGGTGTCAATCCTCATCAGCAGAGACATAGCTCTGGAGGTCCAGAGCCAATACATTGACCCGCAAGGGAGGTTTATTATATTAGTGGGCCTTTTTAATGCCACACAATACACACTAGTTACGGCCTATTTTCCCAACTCCGACTCGACAAATTTCTTAAACAAACTTCTCCAGACTGTGGAGGACCACCGACAGGGAGGCCTGATTCTGTGCGGGGATTTTAACTTCATCCAGTCACCACAACTGGACACATCAGCTACACCATCCCGTAATAGGGGTAGACCCCTATCCAACACATGCAAAAGGCTCACCACCCTGATCTCAAAACACGGCCTGTACGATGGCTGGAGGGTCACACACCCCACGGAGAGGGACTACACGTTCCACTCCGCGGTGCATAACACCTATTCCCGCATCGACACATTCCTAGTAGATAGCAGGTCTCTGGCCCAAATGGCGGATTGTAAAATAGGCTCATTTGCTTGGTCAGACCACAGCCCAATTTATCTCACGCTACACGACGCGTTCCAATTCAAGGGACGAGGGAACTGGAGGCTCAATGAGTCGCTACTATCTGACGACTCCTTTGCTACACTTATAAATGACGAACTAGAACACTTCTTCCGTCTGAATAGTGGGGGAGAGGTATCAGAAACCTCGGTTTGGCTAGCACATAAAGCGGTTATCCGAGGCCTATTCATTAAGAGAGCCGCACACCTAAAAAGACAGAGACAGGAAGATCTACTCCGATGTCACGAACAAATAGCAACACTGACAGCTAGAAATAAAACCAACCCAAATAAGGTTCTGGCTGCGGAACTCCAGCAGACCTACCGTAAACTACATGCACTAAACGCAACGAAAACTGAGTACTTATTAAACAGACTGAAAGCGACTACCTATCACTCGGGGGGGAAAGCCAACAAGTACCTGGCAGCAAGACTGCGAGACAAACTGGCAACTAATAGGATAGCGCACATAATGGGGGAAGATGGGACAAAAAGGCTAGGACCCCAAGAGATCGGTGACGCGTTCGCCACATTCTATTCCAAATTGTATAACTTGAGGGACGACCCCGATACACATACCCCCACTGTAGATGAGGTAAAAACATTTCTTGCCCGCATCAAACTGCCCCAACTATCGAGTAGCCAAGTCGAAACCCTGACATGCCCCCTCACAGTGAAAGAGATATTAGACACTATCAAAGAGTTACCGATTGGCAAGTCCCCCGGAGCAGATGGGCTCTCAAACCTCTATTACAAAAAGTATGCCCAAACATTAGCACCACACCTGCTGGAAACCTTCCATCAGGCAATGGAGAGGGGAGCACTGCCGGCAGAAATGCTGCGGGCCACTATAGTGACTCTGCCGAAACCCGGAAAACCGACTGACCAATGCAAAAACTTCCGCCCCATCTCCCTGCTCAACACAGATGCTAAACTGTATGCAAAAATCCAGGCAAACCGGTTTGCCCCCATACTACCCTCCCTTATCAAAGACGACCAAACAGGATTCGTAAAAGGTAGACAAGGCCTGGACAACACTCGGAAACTGTCGGTGGTCCTCCAGCAGCTCAGGGGGGCCAGAGAGGGCGGTCTCCTGCTAGCGCTGGATGCCGAAAAGGCGTTCGACCGCCTGGGCTGGCCCTTCCTCCAAGGAGTATTGGAGGCATATGGAGTCCCGCTCCAGGTGTGCCGACAAATATTCGCACTCTATGCGAATCCTTCGGCGCAAGTGCTCCAGTCGGGATTCCTCTCCTCTCCCTTTCAGATCACAAATGGGACGAGGCAAGGGTGCCCACTCTCCCCATTGCTATACGTCCTGGCCCTGGAACCTTTGTTGGAAGAGATCAGAGCAAATGAGGAAATCCATGGGGTTAGGATAGGCCACAAAGTGGTTAAGGTAGGAGCTTTTGCAGATGACATTCTACTCTACCTGACACATCTCCACACCACACTCCCAGCAGTTATGCAACTGATAAAGGAATATGGGAGGGTGTCCTATTACTCCCTCAATACATCCAAGACCCAAGCACTAGGCGTATCCCTACCGACCAAACTTACCACACAACTCCAACGGGAATATACGTTCGAATGGAGGTCTGATACTATCACATATCTAGGGATTACATACACGAAGGCCCACACTGCACTATTCGCGGCAAACTATGTGTCCACATGGAACAACTGCCGTAACTTGCTCAAAAAATGGTCGCCACTATATCTGTCTTGGACCGAAAGAATTATAACGATCAAAATGTCAATCCTCCCTAGGTTGCTCTACCTGTTCCGTACCCTACCAATAGAACTCCCCAGATCCTTCCTCAAAACGGTCCAATCAGACATAAATCAATTTGTATGGAAGGGGAGCAAACCCAGAGTGGCACAGAATTTACTAAACGCACCCAAACGAGACGGTGGCCTAGCACTGCCTAATGTACACACGTATTACCACGCAACTGTTATCGCCACTGCCCTCCCACATTTCCTCCAGACACCACCACCGCAGTGGGTACTCCTAGAACGAGAGTTGGTGGCCCCACACACACTGGCCGATGTGATATGGATACCAAAAAAGTACAGACCGCAATGGCCCCTAGCACCACACTCGACTACTTTACTTTTACGGCTCTGGGACAAAAATGCGACACTGTTTAGCGGCCACAAGGGGTTCTCCCTGGCAACACCGATAAAGTCTTTCACATATTGCATCCCCACTTTCCACGCCATACCATGGCAGACCCGGGGTGTCACCCACCTGACGCATCTGTACAATCAGGGCAAAATGCTTAGCTTTGAAGAGATGCAAATCCGATACTCACTGCCTCCCACTTCACACTACTCCTATATCCAACTACGGTCGTTTCTGACCAAACACTACTGTAGAGATGCTGGGACCAATTTGACCCCAGAAACCCCAACGGGGTGGGAACTAATGCTTATTAAGGGACTACTACCCATTGCATGTAAACCGATCTCCATGAGTTACAAGCTCCTGTCACGCCATCTACCCTTCGCTGCCTCAAAAACAGCGCAAATGTGGGAAGCGGACCTAAACTGCTCCCTCCTGAGAAAAGACTGGGAGCGCATATTCCGTTTGCCCAGGCTCCTGATCAAATCAGCCGCCCATCTGGAGCAAAGCCATAAAACATTATATAGATGGTACATGGTACCGTGCAGGCTGCACAAACTATTTCCTGCCACTTCTAACACATGCTGGCGCTGCAATGGGGCTGAGGGCACGGTCCTGCACGTCTGGTGGACGTGCCCCCGCATCCAGACTTTCTGGGCGGGGATCCATAAAATTGCACAAGCGGCGGCTGGCTGCTCTATTCCTTTTGC